AAAAAAAAATGTCATGGAGAGGATTTGGGGAGTCTGGTGACTGAGCAGTTGACCTCCTTTTTCTGAGCCTCAGTTTTCTTGCTGATAATAAGCAGATAAAAACACACAACTCAGAGGCTCAAGATGAGACGTAAATGAGAGAAATGAGGAAAAGCCCACACAGAGCTGGTGTTGCTGCCCTGTGACAAGCCCTGGGTGGGGTGGGCAAATGAGACCTACCTCAGTGACAGTCTTTTTAAATTGGGCAGCACCTCGGGCACCCCAGAGGTGAACTTGGCCTGCAGCTGCAGAGCGGTCAGCCTGGGAAGCTGGAATATGGAAAGGGCGCTCCTTCCGTGGTAGAAGAGCTGGGCAGAAATTCTAGCAAGTGCTAATTAGGTCTGAGAAGCTGCGGAGGGAGGGGTGGGAATGCCTGATTAATTACTGGCCTGCTCTGGGGGCGGGGACACCGGGACTACTTGCCATCTTCCCTCCTCGCCAGAGCTGGAAACCTCAGCCAGGAAGCTGCGTGCTGAGGTAAGCCTGGGCGCCATCTCGTCCCCAGCTCTGCCGCCTGATGTTGGTAACAGACCCACGAGCTGGCTGTACCATGGGGGGCAGCCTCTGCGTCCTTAGCACCTAATTCACTATTGTTTCTTTGGAAGGCCCAAGCTTGTGGCTGGGGAGGGAGGGCTCTCCTTCTTTATAGGGCTCTTAGGCTCCAGCTGGGCAGTCAGCCATAGGGCACCCCCGCCATCTGCACTCAGCCTGGGGCTGTGCCCCCACACACCTGCCCAGCTCACCTGGCTGGTGGCAACACCCCCAGACCACAACTTCTCCCACTTGTCCCAAGACAAGAGAGCCCCTTTCCACCAGCCCCACTAGGGCCACTGAGCGTCTCTTGCTCTGAGCTTTGGAACTCATTCTCCGTCCACCCCAGTGAAGTCAGGGCAGGAGAGAGACCGTGGGCAAGTGAGACATAAGAACGAGGAGACCTAGGCCCATGGGACGAGGGGCTGATCGGATTCTTCTATGGACTTAGCTTCCATAGAAGAGACTGACGGACACCCTAACGTCAGTCTCCCCAGGTTTTTGTGCCTATCAGATGATCACAGTAATCGCAAAGACCCCTCTGCCCAGGAACCGGGCACCAGGAACAGCTGTGTGTACTGCTGAGATGGGAGACAGCCCGTGTCAAGTGGAGGCGGGGGAGTGGCCGCGAAGGGGAAGACTCTGGATCTAAACAAAGCCCCAGGATTGGGGAGGCAGAGACAGCACCCTTGTCCCCAAACCCACTTCTGTCCCAGATTCAGGGCGGCCCTACCGTGGTAGCCTGCTTGTCTCCTGAAATACCAGGGTGAGGGTTGGTCTTCGCACACCTCGGGCACTCGTACACATGGCACCATTGCGGCACTAGGAGACAGGGGAAAGGCCCCGGCCCAAGAGACCTCACAGCCATGCCCTCTGCTGCTTTGGATCAGAGAAGCCAATTCAGAATGATGCTGAAAGGGACCTGACCAGTCACCGGGAGGGCCGTCCTGACCCCTGAAGCACTGAAGGAGGCCAGCTCCCCTCCTTCGGTCCCCTCTTACTATGCTGGTCGCCGCTGTTGCTGTGGACTGGCCATCTGATGGGCTCTGTCACTAACCCTCTGTGTGGCCTGGAGTAAGCACGCCCCTTCTCTGGGTCTGGGTTGAAGGGAGATGGTGAGAGAGGAGTGAGAGGACAGAGCCTGCCTGGTTCCTTCCCGCTCTCACCGGGGGAAACCACCCGTACCTCGCTCTGTCCTCTCAGACATTACGTTGGCCCTGCAAGATGTGAGATCTCTGCTCCTGAGAAAGATATGAACTGCCCAAGGTCACACAGTCGGCCAAGTGGCCACTCCAAAAGCAGACACAGAGGGCCATGGGGCCTAGATCTCTGCACCCTCCGTGACAAGGTCTTCTGAGGATGGCCCAAAAGGTCAGAGAAGGGCTGTCACCAGGGAGTGTGGTCTATATTCCCTCCTCCCCCTGGTGGGTGGGAAGGTAATAGACACTGAATCAGAGAGTCAGGGTTTGCGGGAGGAGGGACTAGAACCCCGGACAGATGCCAAGGGTTCCAAGCTTCCAGACTTAGGTCAAACCACAGATCTAGAAACAGAAAAGCCCAGGTTCAAATGCCAGTTCTTCTATGGATTAGCTGTGTGACATCGAACAAGTGACTCCCCCTCTCTGAGCCTGCTCTGTGAAGTGGAGCTAAAACTGCCTGACCCACTGCCTGGCTGGGCGGACCAGCACACTCATGCCTGGCGCACAGTAGGTGCTCCCAAAGCGGTGGCTGCTGCTATGAGGCTCCCCACCCAGCTGGATGATGGGGACGCTCCCTGGCCTCCTCCTGCGAGGCAGCGTTCCGACGAAGACTTCATCCGTGGCTGGGAAACCTTCCCACCGGCCGCTGCGCTTATCATTAACATATTTCTCATAACTCAAGACATGTCCAGAGGCGCTGTCTAGAAGCAACAGCAGCTGGACCCACGTCTTCCAACATCAAGGACTCTAAAGAGACCAGAAGGGAAATAGCCACTGGCCCTGCTGGCCCCGCTGCCCCCGGGATGCAGCGAAGGCGAGGACTTGGATGTACGAGGTGTGAGCCTATGGCTGACGCTGGAAGCCTGAGCCACGCAGGGTGGAGGCCAGGCAGAGCTCGCAGTGGGGGTGCAGCATGGGGTCCTGTGAGAGCCCAGGTTACCGCAGTGCAGGCCCTGGCCGGGAACTGCCTGGCCTGCTCCACACAGTAGCCAGAGTCCCTCTCAAGAACAAGGCTGGGGCTGCCCTCCTCATTCCCAGTAAAAGCTCGTCACTGCCGGCCTCTGAGTCTTCCCCCGGCCCGTCTGCTCTGTGCCAGCCCCACCAGCGCCTCTTTATTCCACGGCGGTCTCCTGCTTAGCTCTCTCTGTTCCCTCTGCCTGGCAAGCTCTTTCCCCCGGTGTTTACATGGGTCCTCCCTCAGTCCCTCAGGTCCTGCTCAAAAACCACCTGCCGGAGGTCCTCACTGATCACCCTCTCTAATAGCAGCCCGGTACCCTCTGTCCCTCTGTCCCCGCGGTTTCGTTTTTCCTTATTTACGTCTGACAGGACGTCTCGCACCTACGTGGTTTATCATGGGTCTTCCCCAGTGCGATAGAAGCTCCAGGAGGCCGGGCTTCCACTCCAGAGCAGCGCCTGGCAGAATAAACGCCGCGCTATTGATGGGATCGCTGAATGGACGTACGATTGAGCCCTGGCCTCACCGCTGTCTAGCTAGACTGCTTCGGGCAGGTGGCTCACTGCTCTGAAAGGGGGTCATCTCATCGGGTGTCATTTCAGTTGAAGAGTAAGGGAGTGCCCGGGGCGGGCAGCTCTGGAGCCAGTGGACGCAGCCGGCTCCCCTGGATTACGACCAGGGGCTCAGGTGGTGGCGACCACACTGCGAGGCCGTGGGAAGTCGGCGATCTCCCAAATGTCGGTACACTCACCTGTCAGACGTGGACAGCAGTGTGCCCGTCCCCCGCACAGGGCTGTTGGGTGGGTGCCAGGCAGAACCACACCTGGTGGAGCAGCACAGGGCCAGCAGTGCCCAGGCTGCGGCCTGAGGGTCCGGATTTGCATCGGAGTGCCACCATTTTCTCAGTCTGTGAGCTTGGAGGGGGTTGACATTTCTGAGCCTGTTTCGATTGTGAATTCTAACTCGTCTACCGTGACGAACTGCCCACCAGAGGTACCCTGAGGATATGAGATCGCACACCTAAGGGGCATCGCAAGGCTCTAAGGAAACGTGCTGTCACGGGGGAGGGTGAGCCACGGCGTGTGTGAGAGGGCTCAGGGATAGAGAGACACCCTCTTAGTGCAGAGGGAGGACACAGCCAAGCCCTGCTCACCTCCAGCTCTGAGCAGCCTCGCAGAGGGAGTGCACAGCTAACCCTTGTCCCAGCTGGGAGCCTGCAGAGAAGGTACCCACGCCTACTGTCCCCTCTCTTGCCCTGTCCTTCCTTAGGGCCTCAGGGGGACCTCTTAGCCAGTCCTGGAAGGGGGAGTTTTCCAGGGAGGCCAGTGACAGCAGTAAGACCCCAAGGAGGCCCTACAGGAATTCAGTTTGCCCAAGGAAGAGGCTCAGATAGGAAGCCAGGCAGAGGGCAGAGATCAGAAAGTCTCCCTCCCTCCTCACACACACACACAGCCCCATCCAGGGCAGGGGACTCAGGAACCTAGGACCTCCTATAAACCCTACACTAGCCTGGCTTTCCTCCACATCGTGGGCAGACCCTAGAAAAGAAGAACTTGACAAATGGGTTCCTAGAATTTAATGCCGGACACCTGAAGCTCCGGCCCTTGAAACTCTGCAAGAAGCTGCCAAACCAGCCAGCACCCTCCCACCGTCTCCCCTGCTCAGCCTGTGCCTGGCAAAACTCTATGCGGGATCAATGCCACAGGGCATGACGTTTTTGTCTCTTTTGTCCTTTGATGGATTTTCAGTACCGACAAGAGTGTCTGGCACTTGGTAAGTGCTTAATAAATATATATGGAATGGGCGAATCCATCAATAAATCAGTTAACGAAGCAATGAATGAGTGGAAGTGAGGTTCCCTGTGGGCTGAGCAGCTTTACCTCCTGTGTTCTTTGCTAAATCCCCAGAGCCCTGGCACACGGGAGGAGCTGAGGAACTGCATGGTGAACGAAGGACTGAGGCAGACTCGGAAAACAATCCCTCTGAAGGCAAGGCTTTCCACCTGCTCTAAGGCCACCTTCCCAGCTCGCTCTAGAACAGCACCTGTTGCTCGAGGGTGTTGAACGAATCCATGAATGAATGAGCAAAGCCCCAGCTCCCAGGGTCAAGACCACAGATGGAGACAAATGAAACCCAAAGGTGCCACCCTGCCCGAGCCCAGCCCAGCCACCACTCGCCTCCAGGTGTTTTAAATAATTTGTCAGTTGTTTTTAATTGTTGAGGCAGTAATACTTGGTTCATGAAACTGCAATATACAGAGAGGTGAAATAAATAGCTTATATATATATAATATATATAATATAGCTGGTTTTAAAATAGTCCCTTCTCATTGGTGTGCTAGGTCACGTGCGTCGTGGAAGGTCGGTAGCAGCACCCTCCAGAACTGTGAGCCAGGCAGGGTCGCCGTGATTGGACGAGGCGTCTGTCGTCAGAAGGTCGAGGCGCGGAGAATTCCCAGGAGCACGCCTTCCCTGCGCGGTGTCTCGGGACAGCTTGCAGCGGACAATAAATAAATGACTGCAAACCAGAGAGCGATTTTTGTTGGAGTTCAGGGTAGGGACAGGAGGTTGGGAAGGTGGGGATGTTTGTTAGGGCGCTGGGCACTACTTTGTTTTCTTCTTTCTTCTTTTTTTTTCCACTTTCAGTACCTTTGGGAAAAAGGGCTTTGGTTTCTCGGAATGTCAGTTTCCTCATTCACGTCCTCCTCTGGGGAGGAGCCTAGAGTTGTCTGTTTCTAGAGAGACAAGCACCTGTGGGTTGACAACAGGCCCTCTGCGGGAGTCTTTAATCATGGGGGGGCTTCAAGTCAACAATAAAATCCTTATTGTCCCTCCCCCCCCGAGAGTTTTGGTTCAGTTTTTGTCTTCTTTTAAACACAATGTACAAAAATAGAGCTTCTTCCTTATTTTTCATGTAAAAATATTCCTCTGATGCAGTTCTCTAGGGGTGAGTGTGGGCCAGGGCGGCCTGCAGGGCCTAGCCGGGGTGAGTGGGGCGGATTCGCCGGGACCTCTTGGTCACTGTGGTGTACTTGAAGGGCTTCTGCAGCTCCGCCTGCCCCTTGGGGTAGCGCTTCATGAAGTGCACATCCTGCTGGTTCTCCCGGGTCTTGGGCCCCTTCCGCGGCCGCCCCTTCTTGGTGAAGCCCACGTACCAGCCAGAGTACTTGGCCGACATCAGGGCTGTGTAGTTGTTCTCCAGAACCTTCTCAATGAACACACACTCCTTGCTGGTGCCATCAGGCTACAGGGGAGAGAGGAGGGGTGCAGACAAAAAAAAAAAAGATCTGATGAAACTTGTTTTTTATCCAGTTTTTTGCCATAGGGCACTTATGCTGACCGGAGAGAGACAGAGAGGGAAAGTGAGAAATCAGCCCCCAGGGGGATGTCCACATCTCAGTCTTTTCTCCTCTGGTCTTCCCTGGAGATTTCGGGCACTCATGCACCCATGCCTGTCAAGCCGCTGGCTCTGAGACTTGAACCATGGTTGGCTATGTGGGAACCCAGCACTTAACCACTACACCACCTGCTGGCCCCTGCAATGAAACTTTTACAGCATGGTGAGGAAGACTTTACTGAAGATCCTCGTGACAGGAACGGGGACCACCACAATGGGAGTGTGCAGTTGGGGAGAGAGGCTGGGCTCGACTCCAACTCCGAATACAGCACAGAGTGGGAATGCCAGCCAAGGAGCAGGGCTCAGTGGATGGAAAATTAGTGAGAGAAATATCAGGGATGGGGAATCCTAGCTGACCCAACCCAATAGGATCCTTGCTGAAGGCAGGCTGGGGTGATCAGACATCACCTGGGGGGTGGTGGGGGGACAAGAGTTATCAGGTCAGTAGGGCGGTCAGATATGGACGATGGGGTGGGGTCAGTCCTTACTAAACTGACTTAGCAGGGTTCTTGTTAAAGCTGGATTTTACAAGGATGCCCGAAGATGGGCCTAGAGGAAGGCTCAGGAACCTGACTAAAGTTTGACCAAGCAAAGACTTCGTCAGGAGGCCATGGAAAGGGGAATGGCGGGTGTGAGGGGCAGAGCTCTGTGGAGAGGGCATGCACAGGTGGCCATGGCTGGAGCAGCACAGCCGAGAGGCCTAACCTACACTCTTCACTTCCTGCATCTGCGGGCTGGACTGTTATTGGGCCCTTCGGTTTCCCTCACCCTCTAACCTGGTATCATTCTGCTGTCACTCAGGAACTGGCTCTTTCCCCATTCTCCACCTGCATGCCAAGGGTCTACACCTTATCCCCACAAAAGACCCAGACCTAGCCAATCAAAACATGATTTCCCCTTAAGAGACCCCAGTGATTGGTTCACAGGTGGCCATGAGCCCCAGCCCATCCAATCAGAGTGTTTCTCGAGACCTCTGTGTAAGTAACCCACTAAGACACAGGCAGGTTTAAACTCGAAGAGTTTGTGAAGCTGAAGTTTAGGCAGCCTGCCTACCACCATGAGGGGAAATCCCATCTGACAGCAAAGCCAGCACAGAGGGGTCAAAGCCCAGAGCAAGAGAACAGGAGAAACCAAGTCCTGGCCACAGCCTCTGGGATCTGTCCAGCTGCTTCTGAAGCTCGAGTGCCCTCCCTGGTATGCAGGCTAGCACCATCTCATCTCCTTTAAGCCAACTGATACGGTGCTGTCACGTGCAACAGAAATGAGTGTGAACGGGTCTGCACACTTGACAGCGACCTAACAGCAGCCCCAGTCCACTGTGATATAATTAAACGTGGACAAATCACACTTCATGCGAGATGTGGCACATTTTAATATTCAGTATAAAGTGAGGTAGGGACCTTCCAAAACAGGAGATTTAGCATGGCCAACCTCCAGAGCACATGCCTTGGGTTGGGATCTCGGGGTCTCGAGCAGAAGTGGGAACTGCCTCGGAAGATGAGGTACGCCGGACCATGGGCACGTCTGGGAGTCGGAGGCAGAATGAACTGCGTGGCGCCCCCGTGTGACCTCAGATTCCTCACCTACCAAGTAAGAAGGATGACTGTGCATCACAGGGATGCGATGAGGACTGATGCTCCTAAGTGAGTCTGAGGCACACAGGAACTTGCTAGGTTACTTTTGAAGAGCAGGTGTTTCTGACAGGGCTGGCCCGCTTCCCTTAGATCTGACCTGGACGGAAGGCGCAGGTGGGGCAGGGTTTTGAGGCTCCTCCCAAGACGGCCACAATGCTCCCTGACAGGGAGAGTGGGAAACACAAAGTTGGAAGGCCTGAATTAGCAGCACTAGAGTTTCCAACTAACATCTCCAAATTTAGGCTGGGCCCACTCCTCGTTACGGATGGATGCCCAGCCAAGTTGGAAGCCCAGCGGTCTGGCTGTGTGTGGAGACAGAGGTGTGAGTTCCAGCCTTTTGTTTGAAGTGGAAAACGGGCTGGAGCTTCCAGGAACGCTCACCTTTGAGCAGAGGGCAAGCTTGGCCCTGCAGACAAAGTGCTGAACTTTGCAGAAAGGGCCAGGCAGGGTAAGAAAACACTCTCGGGAGGATGAGATCTTTCGAGGAGTCTGCAGAGCAGATGGGGCAGGTCTGGGAGACAGACAGGGGACCCAGAGGACAGTGTGGGTGGGGCAAGCAGCGGGAGACCAGTGAGGGAAGCCAGGGCAAACGCAGGACAGGTAGAAGGAAGTGTTCCCTGGGCTCTGGGTCCCCATGGAAAACTGTGGAAGCTGCCTATCCAACTTGAACCCAGGTTCTCTACCTGGTCCGCACAGAACCCACAGAGCAAACTGAGCAAAGGCTAATCTATGCTGCTTCCCTGCTCTCAAGTACCAGCCACAGCCTGGAAAACGGCTTTCATCCCTCAAAACTCAGCTCTTTTATCGTCTCCTCTGGGAGGCCATCCCGGGTACAAGTGGATCAGGAGCTAACAGCGGCCACACCCGGGCTTGACTCTGGCTCTGCTCCTGGCTAGCTCTATGGTCCTGCTTGTCACCTGCAGAGACTCAAAAGACACCTGTGCTCAGGCCCCACCCCCACAAGCTCTGACTCAGCTGTTTGGGTCCTGCAGAAGCATCAATACTTAGACAATATGCAAGGATCCCAACACAGACCCTTGGTGACAGCAGAATCTGATCACCTTCCCCATCACCACCGCCAGCCTCCTCCTTCCCAGATGGGAGTCCTATCCTTCTATTTGAACTGAAGACTGAATTCTGATGACGCTATCCGGCCCCTACATCCAGTCTTACCTGAAACCAGAACTACCCTTTGAGTTTTTTTTGAAGCTCTGTAAGTTCAAATTTCCCCTTTGCACTTTCAGCATTTCGAGCTGGGTTTCAGTCGCTTGCTCCCAAAGCTGCCCTAACAAAGAAGTGCCGGTAGGCAGGGCGCACCTCCTCTGGAAGGGTCTCTGCTCTCTGTGCCCCTGGGGCTTGTCAGGGATCACACGGGCAGGGGCACATGAGACAAAACCTGGGTTGAGTCTCCAGAGGAGGGAACGCCCAGCATATGATGCTAGACACCCATCAACTATTTATGGGACGGAGGGAAGCAGCACCTCCAGGACCAGATGGATGTGGGTGCCAGGGCAATGGCAGGGAGCTTGCTGGGCTCAGGAACAGGGCCTGGGACATGCTTGGGAGGATGGAGCGGAAGGAGGAACGAGAGCCAAGGCCTGGAGCATCCAAAAGGCCCCGTGGAGAGGTCAATGTGTGCAGATCAGCAGCCATGGCCAGAGCTGAGCAAGGGTGGCACCCAGTCAGGATGTCCCAAGGAAGTGCCCTGTGAGTCACTCCAGAGGAGCCAGGGGTCCCACAGGTGGAGCGGCTCATGGGCCTTTGAAGGGGAAGGGAATGAACACAGCCAGTGCCTACTAAGTGTAGCACTATCCTTCCCATTTCAGAGAAGAGGACGCCGAGGCCCAGCGAGGTGAGGTCGAGCACCTTGTCTCTCGGCCTGAGGGGCTAGCTCTGGCTGTCCATGAAGGGCCACCCACAGGAAGAAAGACCCCTGTTTCTCTTCCTCCGGCCCCTGTAGGCCCAGGCCTGGTGCACAGATTGTGCAGGGCGGGGTCCTGGCTGGGCCCTCACTAGCCATCTGGCTGGGAATGCAGGCACAGACAGTGACGCCCAGGTCAGCAGACAGCCACCAAGAAGGGACCATAGTGTCCTGGTGGGCTGGCCGCCTGAGTCTGGACAGGATGAGCCAGGACTCAAGGCAGCCCCAACAGAGAGAAGGACCTGGACAAGGCTGGCCCCATCCAGGGACGGGCCCATAGGGCCAGAGACATGAGGAATGGGGGGACATTCAGTGTCCCACCAAGGAGTGTAGCCTTCCTCCACTAGGTGGGGAGGACCAGGGGTGGTGCGCCGCAGGGCCCCTATCCTACTGGGCTTTAAAAGCTGAGGGAGGACATTGGAAAGGCCTGGGGTAAGGGCTGAGGCTGGGAAACCCCAGGGGAGGCAGGGAGGAGGCTGGGGCGGCCATTTCTGGGCCATGCGAGGCCAGAGTAGAGGCAGTGGCAGGGGGACACCCTCCACCAAGGAGGCTAAGCTCAGGCCCAGGGCTCTGGGCGCCCGGGACGGCAGCCAGAGAGCCAAAGGATTCCAGCCAGGAGCCAGGAGTGAGGGCAGCTGGGCCAGGTGAGGCGCAGTCAGGACAGGTGGACCCGGGAGGGCGGGGCGGCGCTGAGCCCCAGGCTAGCCCAGAAGGGAGCAGACTGCTGGGGGTGCGGGGCTGCACCACGGCGGGAAGGCGGGAAGGCGGGGCGGCGGGCGGCCGCTCCCCCT